TTTTATCTTTCTCCTGAGGTAGAAATATTATATGACAATAGTTTTTATTAAACAAATATTTACTGTTATTATATTAATAATCTTGTATATCTAATTAGAATATAGATTAATTGTAGTGTATTGCAATACTACTGATAATATCAACTTATATCACATGGATAGGTTTATATCAAAAGTGATTTAGAATAATTAATACTTATTTATAAACAGATATGTAATATAAATAGTAGAATTTTTATTATTGAAATAAAAGATTTTCAGAAAATTAATCTTAATTTGATAAGTTTTTGATATATTTTTGTATATTATTATTATTGTTATTATTCTTAACAAAATAATACTAGTTTAATTATTATTAGATTAAAATATCAAAATTTAATTAGTTATTAAGATTATATAAATTGTTTAAAGAGGTTGAGCTAGTTTTAATTTATGAGTTTGGAAAAATTTTTTGTATTATTAAAATGATATAATGAACCATATTATATAGAAATTGTTTAAAAAGATTTGATTGAGACAAGTAAAAAAACTTATAACTTTACTTGAATATATTTTTAGAAGGAAATTGGTTATACTAATGATAATGAAAAAAATAATTATTATAATAGTAATAAAAAAGGAGGTGTATAAAAATAAAATTAAAAAAAACTGTTACAGGTTTTTTTATTTGCAACTAAAGAACAAACAAAACTTTCAAACTTGCTTAACCCTTGATTAGAGATCATATTCCAATATAATAGTGATCTTTAAAGTCTTTATATTCTTGAGCTTATGACATAGTTGGTGTATTAAAAAAAAAGAAAAAAGTGTTTCTTTAAAGAAAATTATCATATAAGAAAATTTTCAAGAAATCAGTGATAAATAAGTAATAGTTTTTTGAATTTATAAAAAAAATTTAAATTTTCATACAAATCAATTTGAATATTTTACTATATCATAGCAATCATTTTTTTTCACTGGTATTAAATGAAATAACAATTTTTAACACTTTAACAAAATCAATTATCAAGAATATAATTAAATTCAAATTATCCAATAGTTTTTTTTTTATTTTTACACTAATCTCAACTATTATTTATTTATTAATTATAGTTACAAACTTCTATATTCAAAATAAATATAACTTTTCCAAATGTATTTTTAAGCTAATATTCAATTATTTTAAATTTCTTCTATCTAATATTAAGTATATAATTATAGCTGCTTAGAGCTCCTTGACAAGATATATTGTTTTAAAATTTCTTTTCAATATTAGTTAAGTGATTATTGTAGGCAAGTTAGCATTTAACTTATTGTATTATTATATATATAAGAGATTCTGTTCCTTTTACAATGTATATCTAATATTATATAAATTAAATAAAAAATAATATTTACTTACAAAAAAAAAATTAAACTTAAAATTCTTTGATTTAAAAATTAATTTTACAATAAAATTTATATTAATTGATTATAAAAATTAGAATAAACTACTTTTTAACTATTAAAAAACATAAATTTAAAATTATTTAAATAGGAATTTGTTTATTTATAACAAAAATAATTTATTCCAAAAAATATTGCACACCACTGTAAAACTAGTAATTGAATTTTTATTTCTAGTATTTAGGTTTTACCTAATAGTAAATCCATTTATAGAGTAATAAATTGATATGGTTAAATATATAAAATGATAAAATAAGCAAGCAGTTGTTAACAATAGTAATTAATAAAAGAGTTATGCTAGTATATATTTACCACTAAAAAAAAATTAAAAATTAAAATTAACGATTTATCTTTTTATTTAATAAAAAAAAAGAATTTTTAAAAATATCTTAAAATGTTATAGATAAATTATTTTATCTACATTGAGATTGATTTCATAAAGTATGCTTTCTATGTAAAAGCACACTCCTAACTGGAAAAAAACTTGTACGCATTGAATTGTTTCATTTCACGAGAACAACACGCTTAATATGTGACACACGGAGACAATGAGATTTTCCAAATTTGTACTAGTTACGCCTCATAAAAATTTCCATTGTCATGTTCCAATAGTGTAAAAAAATTGTGTGCCGGCTAATCCAAACCATATGAGAAACAAATCGGCATTATTATGTTATGCACATCTTTTTAAAGATTATACAGTAATGCAAAAAACGAGTAATAATAATAATAAATAAAGTAGATGGATTCAAATTGCGAAATGTGCATTGCCATGCAGATACAGTATGCCTAGCCTATTCTAAATATCTGAAATATCCTTTCTAATATTTGCACCCATGCAACATTGTGAGAAACATTGATATCTAAAAAGTAAAATGCAATAGACGACCTATTTTCCGGAATCAATCTCCGTACTCATTTTTCTGTTATACATTTGGGCATACCGTTTACCGATGGAAACATTGATTAATGCAACTCGAATCGATTCAAATATAGTAATATTGAAATTTCAATTTCTACTTATATCGCCATTGGATTTGATTTTTGCTGTAAAAACAATTGATTTTTCCTATTTCGTGAAAGGAACGCCATCAAGGGAATTCCCATAATTATACAAGTTCAGTGCTGATCTTTGTATGAGGGTAAATAAAAAACCGGATATGCTGTGCAACTACCAATAATGAATGATGAAAAGGTGTTAAATTTAATAATGGGCTCACTATCTGATCGATATGATGATTTTTACAGATACATTACATCAATTTTGTTACTATTCTCAAATTTTTTTTATAATTTCTATAAATGCACCATACTGATAATCGTTCACGCCCACAATTTAATTTTCCAATTTGCGTTACCGTTAAAAAGGCCTGCGTTAATATTATTGTTTTGAAGCGCCATCGATAACAAAGTTTTCCACATCTACAGTATATCTTTTGAGATGATCAACATTCGAGCGACCCTGGTAATCAAAACAAATCTTAAACTTTCTTTTTTTATGATCATACAAAATGTAGGATTGTTCGATATTAACATATACAGTATTAAGACCTTTCCTTCTCGTAAAATTTTTTTTAAAAAAACTCGAGTTAATTTTTCAAAAAAAAAATCACAGAACATTCACGAATTTAGTTAAGCATTTAATGGCTCTGATAGCGGATTACAGATTATCTTATTCTTTATAAAATTCTTGCATTATTATTATTATTATTGCTATTATTTTAGAACATTGATTGCGATTCATTATACATTAATAACTTAATATATCAGGAAAAAAAATTTTCTATCCAAGACAAGATTCTTGTCCAATAAAAATTTCCTAACGATCAAATAAATTAGATGATATATCAAATCACGAGATAAAAAAACAAATCTATACATAGTATATCAGTGTTTAGAAGAATCTAGATAAAAAGAAAAAATAAGTAGTGGCGTAAAAAAGAATGAAATAAAACAGGACAAAAAGAAAAAAAGGAAAAGGAAAAAAGATAATTGAATGCTAAAATTTATTTTTTAAATATGCGAATCGTTTTTTGATACGATAAATTTTATAAAACTTTGCTATTAAGTCTGTCAACTTACCCATATCGGCTTTCGCGTGACGATATATTAAAGTTTATGAATGTATTTTAACTCGAAAATTATAGCGTATATTTAACTTGGAAAGTTTCCTTATTTACTTCGATTTTACTGTTTTTTATTTAGCATAAACTATTTACTGTATACGTTGCAATTTCGGTCACGTGACGGAAGCCTGTTCCAATCGATGGTAATAGATGGCTTGTGACAGAAAATTAGGTGATAAGGAAAGATTTGAGGGAATTATGAAAAAACTTTAAGTAATCAATTTCGCCATACTTATAGTTGTAAAGTTACCACAAACTATGTATAGAAAAACGTATAAAAGGAAGTAAAAATAAAGTGTCATAAAAACAGGGAGTTGATTTTACTTGGACAAATCGAACACGCCATAAACATCCATAAAACACTCATCGACTGTTACTCGAAACTCTGTCCACTTTAGCGATAGACTCGGATATCAATTGTCACAGTAGAAAGAAAGAATTGCGAAAAGTATTATTATTTTGTATTTTAATATTTAATAACATATATATATAGTATATTGTCAAATTAATTATCGACATATTTATTATATTCTCTATTTAGTGTATTTAATACCTATATGATGATAAAGAAGTTTTAAATCAATATATGCAATTTGATTTTTCAAATATTTTGATTAATAAATATTCTTTTTTTCTTATTAACATAAATTTTATTATGTAACTTTTTAAACTGATTTTAAATAATTCTTTTTATCATACTTAATTTAACTTCATAAACTTGATGAAAATACAAAATATGTCATTATATTGGTTATCTTTACTAATTAACAATTTTTCAATTATAAATCATTAATTATTTTTTAAATTAATTATTAATTTACATTATTTTATCATACCATTACCATGCTGTATATATAATTATTAATTATTAAATTAAATAATATTTAATTTTGATACGAATTTTAAGACATACTTTAAGATATATATTTTGAAATGTATATTTTTATTTATTGTTGAATTTCTGTTTCCAGTTTATAAAAAGTACTTTATTGACATTAATTTTTTAAACACAAACGAGTCAAATAATTACGAACAAATGAACTGTAATATTCTCAAAGAAAAAGACAATAGATAAAATAAATAATAAAGCAAAAAAGGAAATGAAAAAATCAAAACAAAAACAAAGAAGGTCGATATAAAAGAATAATTTTTACAAAAAATTGTTTAAAAAGAAAAGGTTAGAGTTTTTTAATAAAAAAAAAAAAAGAACCACCCTTATATTATCCAAGTGTTATTTTCCTGTAAAATAATATTTAATTACTAAGAAAGTTTAAAAGAAGTCGAAAGATTAAACCGAGGGTAAAAAAATTGTGAGTTATGAAATGTTTGAGTTATAAGATGTTGAATTTGAGGTTGCTCATAATAAGGTGTGAGTTGTTGGATTAGTAGTTGTTTATCATGAGATATGAATTGTTGAATTTGAGGTTGCTCACAATAAGGTATAGAGTGCTACATTAGCAATTGCTCATAATAAGGTGGGAGTTGTTGGATTGGAGGCTTCACATGCAATTCGGTATGTTGAATTAGTGGTTGTTCATCATAAGATATGAATTGTTGAATTTGAGGTTGCTCACAATAAGGTATAGAGTGCTGCATTAGCGATTGCTCATAATAAGGTGGGAGTTGTTGGATCGGAGGCTTCACATGCAATTCGGTATGTTGAATTAATGGTTGTTTATCGTAAGATATGGATTGTTGGATTTGAGGTTGCTCATAATAGGGTAAGGAGTGCTGGATTAATGGTTGCTCAAAATAAGGTGAGAGTTGTTGGATTGGGGGCCCCATATGCGATTCGGTATGTTGGATTAGTGATTGTTCATTATAAGATATAAATTGCTGGATTTGCGGGTGCTCATAATAAGGTATAGAGTGCTGGATTGGTGGTTGCTCATAATAAAGTGTGAGTTGTTGGATTGGAGGCGGCACAGGGTACTTCATATGATGATTAAAATTTGTGATTGGTGTCATAATATAATAAGGGAGATAAAATGTAGTTGAACTTGTCTTATCATATCTCTCTGAATAAAGTTGTGAACCGTTCATTTCTTTTCCATCAATACATTGGTTTAAAACAACTTCGGTTATTTCATTAACAATATCAGAGAATTCTGCCACCTGAGAGTCTTCAAGTGTGCTTATTTGGTCCTTAATAATATCAGGCACATCTTCTTCTTTCTTTTCTTTAGAGTAATATTGGAATGTCTTTGTTGTTGGTAATTCATTTTTATACGTGTTTAATAATTCCTTCTCCTTTCTTCCTTCACTTTTATGAAGTCTGGAGAGTTTGTAATGATAAAGGCCGTTTTGAGGATCTATAATAAATTTTTGTTAATACGAGCGTTTGATTCTTGTGGGAATCCCCAAAAGAGGATTACTTACTTTCTTTCTTCAGTTTTTTACCATATTTATCATGAGGCCTAAACCTATCTCTTTTCATAGACACACAATTTCTATTACTTTTTGTCATTTTCTAATACAGAATTATTTCTAAGAATTCTTTTGTCGAAAACTATCAAACTTGAACATTTTTTTTCACGAAGATAGTCTTCTATATAATAATTCCAATGTATGTGATAGTGTAACCCTAAATATAAAAAAGTTAATTGTAAAATATTAGAAAAAAAAAATGTTTTCATAATCGACCTTTATTGTGCCCACTGTATCGACATTATACTCTTTAAATTATCTAGATACTGTATATGATGAGCGTTGTTGTATTTAAGGTTTTAAATTTATTGCATTATTTTTTGACTGGGTGTTATTTTCGTGGCAATTTTTTCCATGCTTCTTGTACGTATTTAGAAAATTTCCATAATTATATTGATGATCCGATTAAATTAATAAACAGTAATTTAAGGCTGACGCTCGTTACACCAATAAGTCAATCTATTTCTAAATTGGCAAGACCCTCCCTAAACCATGGTGCGGGTTTATGCAGCCATTCTAGACTTTCGACCGTATGGATTTTCGCAGTCACCACACTGCTCAAAACTTTAAATAGTATGGGTATACATAGCTCATTTTCAACAGTATTATCGAGAAACGTCATGGTGTCAAGTGGGGTGGTGAAACTCTATAAAGCTGGAAACAAATTTTTTCGGCTATAACAAAAAGAACACAATAATAATCACAATCTCTCGCGTAATGCACCATGTTACACGGTCTCGCGATAATCTAGCTTCTGACTTTGTCCCGGTCGTTAATCAGTCGTAGTTTAACCGTTATCTTTCATGATATGGTAAAGAATGGTCACATCGTTTGGTTGTTGTTTCCATAGCAAATAACTTCGATAACTGACATTGATTACTGTATCTGTTTTAATCAAGCATTCAATAAAAAAAATAACATAAACGTATGGCCCGAAGTTGTATTAGCCAATTAAAAGAAATAAATATACAATAATAATCATTGTTATTACATAATGGCTATTGTATATAATCCACATACCATAATAGGTAATCAGATGTTTTATATTACAGTATCATGTGAGATCAGGATTGTGTATAAATTAATATGTTGATATGTCGTGATCTGATTATTAGGTTTAATGCGTAAAAGTCAAGTCCTTTGCTATGCTTCGGACAATAACTTGAAATAAGATTTCTAATTAAATGATTATTAGTATTTTAAGATAATCGATAATTATCTTGGAAATAGCAACTGAAAACTATTTTTCAAATTCTAAATAAAGGTGTTTAGCTGATAGGTTTCTTAGTGACGAATTAATTGATTATTCAAAGTTTGAATAAGTTTTCATTTAGTAAACCAAGCTATCAAAAATATTATATTATATTATATACGGCCTTCTAAATTTTACTACTTTCACGATTTTTTAATCTTAAAATAACCAACTTACTTAAAAAGAAACTACAATAAAATTTTTCTCAAGAATTTTTTATCAGCTATATTTTAATTATTATTCTGGTTTATACTGCTCCAGATAGATAAGGTTGTTATTATAAATATTTTATAAATATTTTATTTTTGTTGGATAAAAAAAAAAAATTATACAATAAGTGTTATAATCTTATTTTTTATTTTATTCACAAATTTCAATTTTATAATTGGTTTTTTTTTGTAATAATATAATCAATATATTTTTTATTTATAATATTAATAATTATTTCAAGTAATATTTTTTGTCTATAACCTTATTTAAAAATCAAATAAAATTGTAATAAATATTTTATGACTTATTAAAATCAAATAAAACAATAAATATATTTTTAAAATAAAAGTAATAAAAATAATAAAAATAATTTAATAAATATTTATTACTATGTCACTTATTGTTGAAATATTTTTTTTAATTTAAATAAAGTTAATTACTTTATACAGTTACTAATATGCTTGCTTATTTTTTATTATATACTACTAATTAAATTATTTAATTTTTATTAAAATAATTATGTTTAAAAATATTAGTTTTTTTATGGTTGACTTTTTTTAAAGAATTTATTTTAAAATTATTGCTTTATTTATTAATAAATAATTTGATTTTTTTTTTCAATTATTTTTCAAATAGATATATTATTTTAGCTTCTTATTGACTTATAATGTAAGTTAAATTTTATATAAACTATCTTATATATTATTGATATTAATAATAAGTCTATTAATTATCTGAAGTTAGCTTTTATATCATATTAATTTACAATAAATAAAATCTTTTCTTGACTTTGGAAGTTGCTTAGTTTTGCTTTTAAATAATCAATTGACTTTTTATAATTTCAAATTTATAATTGAATAAATTATTATATAATTATTAATGCCTATACAAAAAATAAGTTTATTAATTAAATTATTATTTAATTATAAAAACTAATTTACAATTTTTATTAAATTATAATTCCCCAAAACAATTGTCCCATATCGTAAATTGTCGTGGATAAAAAGAGGTGCATAATAACACGATACACATTGCGTAATAGTGTTGTTATGAGTGGATAGAGTATCTATGTAATTATGCGGCGCAAAGCGATTAACATGTAAACAACTCTAGCATATAAATAAACTAGCATATATAAATATGACTGCTGAACGGATTAAAATAAAGTTATTAGTATTTGGGTAACATTTAATAAAGAAACCATTTAAAGTAAAACTCTTACCCATGTTAGATATTGTGACTATTGTTTACACGCCTTTACCCTGTTTATGTGACTATATGAACCAAGGTTGACTAGGGATTGGAAAATTTCTAGCAACCAATTGAAGTTATAGTACTAGTCAAGAGTGAAACATTAGTAAGCGCTAGTAAGACCAGTCAAGTCTAAACACGCCTCAAAGAGTTAAAAGTCTTAAGTCAATTTGACGCAACTCATATCTCGGCACCGTTACACGAGAATTGTAGGAGATTGGCGACCGACTTGCCGATAATATATATTTTGGTTTTAATTATATCTTGTTGTTTTAATTATATCTTGTTGTTTTTTAATTTTCATAATCACTTAATGTTATAAACCTCCAGCATCGTTTAAAAATTTTCTTTTCAGAAAAATCCATTGATCTACATATAATAAATCTTATTAAAGAAATAGAAATATGATAACCGAGGTTTTGATGTATATATAAAACTATAAATAGCCCACATATCCCTATAAAAATAATAAAATTCCTAAATATGATAAATGATTTCTTTGTTTAATCAAACTAAAATAAAAAAAGTATGTTTTCTGATACAAAAAGACAGGTCAAAAACGCGTGATTTGTCTTTAAAAAATTTTTTTTTAGTTTCATTGATTATTATATTGACGCGAAAATTTATCCTATTATTAATTATTAACGAGTATACTATTCTGTTTTTTTTTTCTTGACTGATCGACTGTTAAAGCACATTTGTAGCAAGCTTTCCATCATTTTAAATTTCTAAGGACTTCGAACCACATGATTAATGCGTCATTTTAATCGTCTTAATCGAGGATTTTGTGATCCAACTTAGAAGTGTTATAATTGGCAATCGATAGGCAACGTAATTTTTACGCTTGTTTCTTCATGTTGGCCCTTAGCATTTTGATTATTAGCTTCTTGATTATTCGAATCTACTACGCTGAGATAATAATAAGTCAGTCAATTCCATATTAAATAACTTTGGCAAAAAACCTCTTCATGAGTTGTGTGGGACAGATATTGCATATGGTTATAAGTCCGTTTTTGCAGATCTTCCCAAATATTAACTGTAGCCTTATATGAGCATTTTGTCCATTCGTTCGGTAGTAATTCAGAATTTAGATCTTGTATGGGTTGTTCATTGATACCAAGATGCGTTTTAAGGATATCATTAAAACAAGCTTTCGTTGTATCAGCGTTCGCTCCAAAGGTTTTTAAAATCCAACTATAAAATTTATTCAAGGAAGCTATAAATTTTTTAGGGACGTCCTCTGCAACATCTTCATTCTCGGGGTTATTGGCAATATTTACGATTCGTTGTTATGTTCCATATATTCCGTTATTGCTTTCTTGAATGCCTCCTCTTGGTATTCGATCCTACTAACGAATTTTTTTCTCTTTTTCGTCGTTAAAATCTTTATCATAAATTTTCCCCAAATAGTTATTCAAAAAATTCCATAGTTCAAACCTTTTCAAGTTTCGTTCTGATTTAATTGACTCTATCGAAATTTTTTCTAGAAGCTCCTTGACGGTTATACCTTTGATTTTAACAAAAGATTCCAGAAAAATGCCGCCGATATCTAATAATCTATTTTCAAAAGGTCGCATGATACTGTATCTCCTATCACGTTATAGTTAAATAAAATCCAAGTTCGATTAATTTTTCAAGTTTTTCGTTCCACTCTATTTATATTGGGACGTACATAACAACACGGTGGCGTAGGTGGGAAAGAATTAGGAAGTACCAAATCATTCACATTCGGTAATAGTCAATCTCTTTCCATAAGACCACCGAATCTTTACAGATTAAGATAGCTCAGGCAATCACATTCAATTGCCGACTATTTTTATAGTCATCTTTAGGAGAATACTCTTCCGGTACGTTGGTCGATAATTGATGAGAATTGTTTCTTTTGGGTTTTGGCCTTAGTAGAAAAGGAATAAATTTCATTTCACGAATCAACTCTTCAATGAGGTCCTCATTTTTACTCAGAATAGCCGGAGCTTTGCTTATTACGTGGGGACCGGCGGATAAGAAGAGAAAAAGTTCCGTACCATTTCCCTTAAGAGTGTGACGAGTCAGTTGCTAACCGGGAGCAGAATTTGCGTAACCGTCACTTTAGTTTGTCAATGGAAACTCAAAAGAGTGGATTCAACTTGACCGAATTCTCCTTTTTTGTTAATACATTCTTTCTCTTTTATACATTTTCCAACAAACATTTAGATGGAAGCTTTTAGAAAAATCGAAATTGATAAAACTTTTGGGAATATTAAGGATTAATGATTCGAAATTACATGATATCTTCTCATTGTTCGTCATAATAAAAAATCATTATTGCTACAGATTGATGTTCGGTTAAATATCGGTCACATGACTATCGTCGCGTCTTGGCCCTTCCTTATATTTAGCTGATTTAATGCCTCTGTGATTAAATAAGTGAACACCGATATCGGTAGATTACTCGCCCATAGAGATTAATTTTCTCTTTAAAATTTCGAATGCGTTCAGATCTATATACCCGACATTGTGTGCAATACTTAATTCGATAAGTTTTTTGTCGTATCGACCAAAGTGCATTAATAACCTCTGGATGAAGTATCTTGATAATATACAGTAATTTTCCAATATTAGCTTTACGATTTGAACATTTATAAAGTTCGGCCCGAGTCGTACCGCACGAAATAACAATATACAAAATACTACCCTTTTTTTTTTGCGAGTGTGAGTCAAACGATAGAAAATAAATTAACTTGAGAACATTATTCTCACTCGGATCTTTATTTATAATAGTATGTTTACATGAAAAAACAATACGGGAATAGTCTTCTGTTACGCTACCCTCGGTACCCTACATATGCTAAATTTCCCAAATTTAAAGAATTCCTATCTGTACCATTTCCTAACTTCATCCTTCATTTAACCATTCCTAGCATCCCCATATACGTGTTAACCTTTTTTTTTTTTGGTATAATTATCTGGCGAAATTAATCCCTGGTCTGTGATGGTAACAACTTGCAGACGACAATAACAATGGATAAAGTTTATATCGAATTGGTAAATGTGGTTGTATAGGTTTAGGGGGTTGGACTGAAGGAACAAAAAATTACATCGGTGAATGGGTTGAATATTGCGTGTAAAGTTTCGATATTTGGATTGGAGATTGTTCATAAGGTGTTGAATATGTTGGAAGTTGTTCATAAGGTACAAGTTGTTGAGTAAGAATTTGTTCATAAGGTACGAAGTGTTGAGAAAGAAGTTGCTCATATGGTAAAAGTTGTTGAGTAAGAATTTGCTCATAAGGTATGGATTGTATCGCAATACAAGGCGTATAAAGCGTGGTCGAACTGAGTTGTTGGATGTTCTGAGTTATCACAGGACCTGTGTAATCGTATTGTTCCGAATAACGTTGTGAACCGTTTGTTTCTGTGGTTATTTCTTCAATAGTACAAAAGAATTCTTCCAAATGAGAGTCTTCAACTATACATGTTTGTTCATTAATAATATCAAGGTCACTATTTTTTATTGTGCTTTTGCATTCTTTTTTTCTTTCCTTGGCATAATGCTTGAACATATTCTTAATCTTCGGTGTTTCGTTTTTCCACATTTTAGATATTTCTTTCATTTTTATTCCTTTATTTCCACGAAGTTTGTAGAGTTTGTAATAATAAGAGGTATTACGGGGCTCTATTATAGAATTTTTTGTATATAAGCGTTTGATTCATGGATTGTTTGAAATATAGGATTACTTACTTTCTCGTATCAATTTTTCTCCGCGTTCGTCATAGTACCTGAAATTATTTTTTTTGTTAGACGTACTATTTGGATCATCTTTTGTCATTTTCTAACGCAAGAATGAATTTGCAACAATTCTTTTTTATCAACGAAGAGCGTCTTTCTATATAATAATTCTAATACCTGCGATCGTGTGACCTGTAATCTGAAAATAGGAAATAAAATTCTTACTTCCCTCTAACCTTTCTCGGAAATATTTATTGTTACCTTATGCATTGGTGAAAATCTTGACATTTCAGCTTGAGTTGTTGTGAAAAAACTTGACATTTCAGCTTGGGTTGTTTAATTATTATTGGTTTTTTTTTAACCGGTTAAGGTAATTATTTTTTTGGAGGGTAACGGTAGTACAGTGATTACTAAATAAAAGAAAAATATAGTTTCACACAACTGTAATCGCGTAAACGAAATTTTTTGTCTTCACAATTTTTCTGGTACGTATTTTTTGCCTGCATTTTGGCGTAACTACTGCGTAGAAAATACATTGATGTATATAATAGGTATTATAGAATCAATACACAGACCATTAAAATTTAAATAATAATCCGTTAAGAACTTGGTCGTTATAATATTATTAGCCAGCATAATGTAATCTCTTGTCAATTAATAAAACAAAATTATTTAAATTTTTGTAAAAGAATAGTCAAAAATAGATAATCTTGTTTATAGCTTTGGTTTTGTCTTTGTTCTAAGATAGAAATATGGGTAATTATTTTTGAAGGCGATGAAAATGATAGATGTGTTTTTTTGGCTTCTACTTTTAAACGATACGTATACAATGTAATTTTAAGGAGCACAATTATAGTGTCCGAAAAATCCCTGCTCACTTTCAAAAATAATTACCATTTATATTGTGACTGGATTAGCGTATTTATACCATGAGAGTGTAATAAATAACACTACTTGGATACTTTAAATAATCTAATACTTTTACTTGATGAAGAGGGGAGGAATGCCACCGATCAGAGAACATGCTGAGGAAGAAACGTCCAAACTATTAGATGACCGAAAACGTGGAGGAAAAAAGGTCGCCTAGTATTAACACGAGGGCTTCTCGGATTGGAGTAACGAACTTTATTAACTTTATAAAATCTTTACATCCCGGTCAATCGATCAGTTATTTCCCTATTACGAGGGAAACGCTTGAGGAATATATTGATGCTAAACGCACGGCTCATATAAAATCATGATCTTTGGAACAATATTTACAGACATCCAAGCCTATATAACCTAGCATTTGGTTACGGCTGGGATGGCTCGGTGTTCGGCCCATTAATTAAGAGATTATTAGATGAGTTAAGACTTATTGAAGAGGAAAATCTCGCATTAACATAATCCTTACAGATTGAAGTCTCTTGAACGAGAACTCGAATAGAATTTTCAACCTGCTGACTATTTATGAACACGCCAGCATTGACAAAAACGAAAACATTGATGGGAAACCTCTATTTCATACTGTATACATTTTTTATTACCGTAGCCATCTGAGAGCGATTTTTCATTATACCTGAAATAATTCAAAGATTATATAATTGCTGTGCTTCGATGCTATAACAATTCTGGAATAGCGTGCCGATATAAATATCGATAATTTGAAGTATGCAGAGCCATTGTTAAACTTACAACAGTTATACGACAATATTTCTTCTGCCACTGTGCCCTATCACGGGGAAGCGCGGACATTCTTCGGCTCTATTATCGAATTGGCACACGTGATGATTCACAACACTGAACTAAACGATGAATATGCGTTTGTTCGTTTTTGGACAGGCTTTAATAAACGAGATGTTCAATTTATTGTCTATCATAAAAGTAATAATGATAGTTCCAAAGTTGGTGAATTTATGTGATTATCGAAGCACCGCAGATCCTGGAACATTGAGTCAAGTCTGTGTTACAAAAGTTCACGATTTCGCACCTCTTTTCAACGTTTGATTAGTTGATCTTACCTTAAGACGATCGGAACCATTCCCACCTTCTAAAACTTCAGACACTTTGCCCACTTTAAAATTTATCACTATAAGATCTAAAACAAGTAATTGTCGTATCAGATACTACGACATTTTCCTCATTTGTCTCACTTGCGATTAGAATAACTCTTCCACCTGGAAAACAACTTGTTATTAGAGAAACCGTTAGTGATTTGAAATACAGTACATGCCTGGAGACCTCGTCAGAAGGTAATTAATTAATTTCTAAATCTAGCGAGACACTAGAAAAACAAATGTTGATTAAGGTATCGAGCACGCTGACGTTACCGCCATTGAAGATGCCAATACTATATAGATTCTAACTACTTTGAGCAGCGAAAATCCGATGCAACGATACTATATTGTAATTTGCTATGCCTGTATGAACGTATTTTCACATAATCATTGTACCTATAAAAAATTATGAACATTCTTTCTTAAGTATCTATGTTCCTTCTATGTAGTTAATCATTATCAATTCGTGTAAATATTAAAATTTTTCCTGAAATATTAAATGCCCGTTTTATTATAAGACTATACTGTACGCTTCTTTTCTGACACAAAGGTTTTAATCTCGTTTATTAAACTATTCATCGTTTCCATCACTTCATTTTATATAAATACTCAACATGCAATGGCCCGAATAATTATATATTCATTCCCTTTTAATTATAAATAATTTCATATACAGTATGTAATTTCTATCTCTATAATTAATATTTGTTGAAAAAGTCTTATTGATAATTCGGGACGAATCCCGTTATTTGTAATAATATTAATGTAATTATAATTATCACAGTTATCGTTCCGTCAAAATTAGTTATTTCAATACCCTTGCATCTTGTATTTACGGTACACCTTTTATGTTTAATCTCTTGAACAATTTTGACTTTCTATGGCCCAAGGTAAATATTTTTCAATAAAAGAATTACGAAATAATATAGTAATTTGCGGTCATAGATGTATGGTAACGACAACAAAATCTTTTTAAATGATCTATTGAAATTTAGCATTATGTTAGCGAGTTTTTTTCCTTAAATTAAATAAACTTTAACGGAAATTAAATACCTTATTTGTTATACTGTATGCTGTGTATTATACAGTGGTGGTCGAAAGTATTGCATCACCTGAACACAAAATTTAAAATGGCGATATTTTGTGACCCAGATGTTGAAATGACACAAAATTTCCAAATTGAGCTCGTCATAATATAATTTTGATATATAAGTACAGTGCAATTCACTTAATCACCACAATTACTGCGCCACCGGCCAAATTTTAACCCAGTGGCTTAGCTAATAAATTTACGTCACATGCATCTTTTATATAAATGTTAGCTCAAAGTCAAATAATCTCTTTCACATCAATTTTAATTACTGGTTGCTTCTGTAGAATCGGAAACACTCTCATATCCTTTCTTACCAATTTCGTCTCTATTAATAATATGTTATGTATAATACAACATAATAAGAAATTCCAAAAAGATATGTCATATCAATTATAAACTGAAATTGGATTCTGTTAATTCTTACTATCGCTGGACAAAATTCTAAACCAAAGATTAATCATTATCTCTAAAAGCACAAATGTAATCGTCATTACCATAAATATAAAAGAATTTTATTGAATTTTAATAAGTATTTATTTGTGATGTTCACTAATATTATATTTATCTAACTTGATCTCAATATTATCTAATATGATAGTTGAAACACGACAATTAGAATGGTATTTTTTAACAGCATACTCTGCTGACTTTCCAGTTAAGCCATTTCTATAAGCACTTATATACCATTGTGATTTCCTCGCAAATCTACGAATAATATTAATATCAACACTATTTAAAGCTTTCGGAATTCTCTCCAAAAGACCTTTCCAGGTATAATTACATCTCTCTTGTATATACCTTTTACATGCCCTCCAATACATTTCTATATAGTTTAATTCACAATGATATTTCAGATAAAATAATACCTTATGTCTGGCAGCTTCAATTATTTCTTGAATCCACGGTTTCTGGATTGGAAAATCAGGTTTTTGACTCATAATTCATCATGCACAACAATTTAACTGATTTTCATCGTCAATGCCATTCTTGCAATCTTTACAATCAAGCGAAAGATCTTTTTTCCATAATTTCTGTTTCTCCAAGACCATTTTGATTTCTTTTGATCTGCCATCTGGAAGTGTCATCATTTGGAGCTATCCATTGAATATAGTATCCCTAATTTTATAGCTTCCACCTGATTTTAAATTCATAAAACTTGCTTGTAAGGTATCTTCAGCATATCCATTATGGCTTGTTGCATTATCAAAGCAAACTACCATTATGCATTCAGGATGAGTAACCTCAAATAGAGGAATAAGTTTTTCTTTCACTTGTTTTACTAACTTTTCCATGTTTTACCATCTCTCATTACTAGTACCGGAAACTAGATCTTCTCTTGCAGTTTTTGGTAAATGTGAATATTGTTTTTGTTCTTCAGGTATTAGTTGCAATTGCTTAATCATTTCTGTCAAGAAGTAACTTACATGATATCCTTTGCCTTGTCCTTTTTTTCAAAGTGACTGCTTTCTGTCTTCAACCCATTGAAACTTAGAAGCATCATATGCATGAAATACTGATTCATCGTGTGTTACTAATATATAAAGTTTTTCTCCAGGTAAAAGTTTTGGATCTTTTTGACTTTCAAGATTATTACTAACATCAGGACGCTCATGTACATTAACATAAACACCTTTTTGGCATTGCTTCCAGGACTATGTATAATTATGCAAAAATCTATTTACGGTATTTTCACTTACTTTATTTTCAATATCACAACTAAGAAAAGGTAACACAGTTGTATTAATGTAATAACGAAGTTTTTTTATTGTAAGATATTCATTTTTCGGTAATATACGAATATAACTTAGAATTTGTAAAGTTACATCCTTATCACTAAGAAGTTTTCGAATTTTTGAATGCTTGCCATGTTTTGATACAAGAATATTCTTATTACAAATCCATTGAGTTGCCCATGATCAAATAAGCCTTGCTGATCAAGATTTCCATCCCAAGTCTTGTACAATTTCGCTTGCTTTAGTTGACTGGTAACCATTAATAAGGTATCGTATATACTGCTGAACAGCCTTAATTTATGCTTTTGTGCCTTTTTCTAAATCCTTTTTATTTGCAGCATTTGCTAATGATATTTGTATTTCAGGCCAATTGGGTTCTTTTTCATATTCGGCATCATTCATTTGTTTACTTTTATTTTCAGCCATATTTTTAACAGTTTCCCGAAGTATAGCATTTTTTCGTCGTATAGTTTGTGCTAAGTTACCCAAGTATTGTTGTGGATGATTAGAGACATGTACATCTAAGTTCTCAATATTTGTTTGATGCATAACATCTTCAGGATTATCATTATCATTATGCGGTTCCTGAGAAGTTAAGTCCAATATAAATAAATAATTGGGTTTTCAATGTTTGGAAATTGCTTGTCGAGCTTGTAACTGATGTTTTGAATATGGCATTGTTACTAACAATAGAATTTATATATATTTTACAAATTAACAAATATGTGATTAATTATATACTTTTTGATTTTAGCTTTATAAGAGTTATTTCAACTAATTTTTCAGGGGTACATATCAGCTGCATTTTTTTATAAAGATAAAAGATGTTTGTAGTGATAGATAATTAATAGAATTTGGATTTGTATTACAGTAAATTTAAGGAATTTATTTATTTAAGGTTAAGTTTGTATGCTGTAAATAGGATAAATTAAGGCTATAACGGTATATTATCAAGTTATGAGAATCAATAAAAAATTTATATGTATCATTATTTTTATTACTATCTACATATATATACAGTATATCATTACTTTTTATTACTATCTACACATATCATTACTTTTTTATTATGTGTGTTGTAATGGTGATCAGCGAGTCTATCGCTAAGAAAAGTTCAGATTTGCATAACAATAGTAAGTATTTTATTTATGGTGAGGTGGAATTGATGTTGGCTGAGAATCTTTTCTAACTGGACTTGATTTCTTTTTGTTCCTTTATTTAATTTCTTCTTGCTTTTATACATTCTTGCACACTTATTACATAATAAAAATGATAAATACAAATCAAGTAAAAATATAAAAAATCTCATGACGAAGCAATTTGATTTTCACACTACTCTATTATATGATTTTATTAATCGCTCCATAGTGCCATAATTGATTCTGGCACGACCCGGTCATGTGACAATTGTTGCGATTGTATTATGATCTGAACAGTTCCCATTTCTTCAGGTTCACGCTAGTTTTCTACCTTAATCATTGTGCTCAATATTATTGATTTCTGCACAATATCGTATAAATCCAGAATTTGGTGTAAGACACATTACCTTTTTCCTGTGTTACAGCATATTATATAAAATTTGAACCAATTATAATATCTCTATTGTCATATTATATTTAAAAATGGTGGCCAAATTCTTTAAATATATATGAAAATCCTAATTTTTAAAATCTATTAACTTAATAATCAGAGTTTTCTAATTTAAAAGAATACATAAAATTATAAAACAAACTATAAACTGTTAACTTACGTATTTTTAAAAAAATTTAATTATTAGAAAAATTTTTAATAGAATTTAAAATTAAGTTTTTTTTTTATGTGGTAACTAAGTGAATGGCACTGTATAAATTGATATAAAAAGGAAAATTTTTTTAATATTAAAGTGAGATATTACTCATGATCTTTATTAATAAAGCAAAAGTTTAACTTGTTACATAATTAATATTAAGATATGAGTTATATCACTATAGATATTAACCTACCATCTATTAAACAAATATATTATTTGAAAAATCCTTGAGCAGGGAAAACCTGAGAAACTATTTGTTATAAAAAAAAAAATAAAAAAAAACATTTAAGGCAAGATCGCTGGCATTGTAAAATATTTAAGTAGAAAGAAAAAGAAAAAGAAAATATTGGGGCTTTTGTTAAATATGGTTCTTGAACGCAATTAGTTGTTTCATTCAGATGTCGGCACTGTGCAAGCCACATATAACTTGATGGGTTTGGTCATGTGAAATTTTATGATATTGTTGTTATGTGATATTGTTGTGTTGTGATGTAGATAATAGGGTGACTGAAACACGTTCCAGATGTCTATTATATTGTTTTGGTAAATTATTGTATATTGTGATTACCAGAACCCACGCAAAGCACTGATTATGCGCTCTCCCAATCTGGTAAGTTGTTATGTTGTTTTGGTGTATAGAGATAGTATGGAATATGATTAGTGTTTCGTGTGTTGTAGATCATTTGATGGAGTAAGCTAGTTGCAGTTTTTGTATTGAAATTTATGAGCGAGAACTGATAACTAGCCAGAAGATTATGTGAAATCTTGCACTAGTTATCATTAGCAGAAAACAAAAAAACTCTAAAAAAAATAAAATGCTGCCTCTTGAGATTGTGATTGTTTTTGAGTTAGAAATGAGAGATGTGTTTGTTTTGTAGCGGTTGTATATAGAAATGGCCTTCACATAGAAAATTTTCTTTTTATTCATCTTCTTTGTTCCAAGTTATTGCCTAGTGCTGTTACCAGTTACTAGACCTCTTAGTGCGAGCTTCATTACTGGAAACCCCAGAGGTCAATCTTATCCTTGAAAACCCTACTGCTCTAAATCAGTCCTCCGGTCTATGTCTTTTCCCCAAAAGAATATTCTGCTAGACAAAGTTCCTTGGAAGAAAGAAGCTTCCTAAAAAGGCAATTTTCTACAGATGGAGGTGTTGTGGGAAAGAGTTTTTTTTTTTTTTTAAGAAAGTCTTTTGATATTTAAGTCAAATTATAATTTTTGCTTAGAAAATAATAAAAAAAATATTTAGACTTCATAATTTTATTATTATTGCAAATTAATAAACTAAATAAGAATTTTTTAAAAAAAAATTTATAAACTTTTCATATTATCTTTTTTATTTATTATTATAATATTTTGAATATATTATACAAAAATTAAATTATGTAGCAATTTTTATTTTTTTTATTTAATAACAATATAAAATAAACAAATAAAAATTTAATTAAAGTTAATGAAAAACCTTTTAACTAAATTATATTACATTTAATTAAACTTTGATTACAGTTGTATTAAATGCTATTTTAAAATATTTAATAGATAATATTACCTTTTTAAAAAAATATTTTTTTTATAAAAAAACTCTCTCCCAAACAAATCTGCATCCGAAAAAACTACCAAAAAAGGAAACCAAAATTTTTTCTTCGAAAAAAACAGTAAAGGACCCTGGAGGGTCTTCTTTATTCTCTAAGGGTCAACCCATCGAACCAACCCACACTCTACTTGATGTTCTCATCACCGATGTTGACAAATGTTTAGCTATAATCTTTCATAAAAACAATAGCACCAACATTGTATACACTACCTCTCCCACTGCTAACATTCACCTCCCAAAATTTGAAAACCCTCCCAAAGCATGGTTGACACCAGTACGCCTCCAAGAAAATAGCCATAAAGTTCTTAAAGTAATCTCAGTCTCCTTTGAAGTACATAAAAAAAGACTTGGAAACCACTATACTGAAGTCAAAACCAACATCTTAAACCCTATATCGTTAGAAACAATGAACTCCTTTTTTGAATATCGACATACCTTTAACCTATCTGACAATGATAAAGAAGGAATAATGAAGACACTAATCAAACAGAAACTTACTTACAGGCTTCATGTCTCTTGGAACAAAATTGATATCAATATTGACAAAGTAGCCAAAACCTTTTCCTTGAAGCAAAAAACTGAAATGCCCACACCCCCTCCAAACACCCCTGCCCTAATTGGGAAAAGAATCAACGACAATAGCATGCAGCTTTATTGTGAACCTGAAACAGCAAATGCAACTACCCCTGAGCACATTGACAATCATTCCAGCTCACATGCAGCAACTGAAGATTATGCAAACTCTCCTGAACACGACAATAATCATCACAGCATGCATAAAACCAACACAGCCCAAGCATCGATTGACAATACCACAATGTTCAATACACTCCTGAGCACAAACATCCCAACACAAACTAGCTCCAATATGGAAATTGATGAACACCCTTCCCCCACCCAATCAGTTGAAACCTTGGAATCTCTCCCCAACTCATGGGCAGATGAAACCAATAAGTTTCTCGAACCAACACAGGCCACAACACCTACTGCAAACAACATTAGAGATAACACACCTCCTGATGAACAGGAAAAAATTTTAGAGCTATGTGAAGAATTTAACAAATGCGACAGGACTCCCAAA